TATAAATATAAAAAACCTTGATTAAGTTTATATTATAATAAACAAGTTTTTCGGAAAAAAAACCAGAAAAAACGTACGGAAGTATAATTAAAATTTGTCTGCCAAGTTGTTTTCCTAATGGGTTTTTTAAATTAAAATAGTAAATTTATAACTTACAAAGAAGAGAAATCATTCTAGCGGGAAAAGTTATTTTAAAACGTCAGGAATGGAACTGAAAACTTCTACTTCAGGTAAACCGGATAAACCTGAAGAGTCAGTGCCTCACCAGCCATGAACCTCACTGCACGTCACTGCAGAAGCTTATAGACATCTAAGTTTTTTGTGCCAAACCACTTTTGTATTTTGTACATGTAAAAACGCCACTGCCTATGGCATCAGCACACCTCGTCCTTTTTTCTAATGTAAGGATGCATGTGAAGTGTTTTTTAAAAGGCCTTGCCCGCTCTCCTATAGCTGGTGGAAAACCCTGAAAAACAAGAGATAAGCTGCTGTTATATTCTGCTCTTTGTATCACAGGAAGACTACAGAATACCTTGTTTCTAACTCAGTGGGTAGTTATGTTATTAAACTCCAGTAAACGTGAACATCTTACATCTCAACTACAATACAATAGGCTCTGGAGCAGCTTTCCTCGACATTGAGAAACACCAACAGGCCGTTTCTCAATGTCAAGTAAACCTTCTGCAGAGCCACTATTTCAAGTATACTACGTCATCGAGTGGCGCCGAATGCTGGGCATTTAACATGCATTTAAACAGTCCTTCGGCGCTGCTCGATGACATAGTATACTTGAAATAGTGGCTCTGCATTAGGTTTACTCGACATTGAGAAACGGCCACAGTCTCAGAGTGACTGGTGTCAACAGTCTCTATGTCAGTGGTGTTCTGTAAAAGGAACTACTGTTGAAAGGTTGTTCCTACACGGACCGTAGGTTGTGATACACCAGGGTCTGAACTAAATACACACGTAAACATACGCTGCCGCTTGAGTCTTTATTAGTTATACACACACGGTGTACATAACTTAACATGGTGTCAGAAGTAAAACGTCACGTTTTATGACAACATTTGTGGTGTACATGACTTAACATGGTGTCAGAAGTAAAACGTCACGTTTTATGACAACATTTGTGGCTGCCAAGTCAAAAACATTCATGCCAAAAGTAAGCCCATGTTTGGAAACATACGCAGTTCATTAATATCAACGTTTAGTTATTTATATTTGATCAGCTCTTTCTAGTTTCACACTCTGATCAAACTTATTTTTTCATGAAAGTTACCAACATGAGCTGTTTCTCAATTCTCACGTTTGATCCACAGGCAGTGACCCGGTAATCAATCTCAGTGTGCCATGTTGAAGGTACACATGTAGTGTTCGAGTATCGAAGATCACAAAGGCGTTTGTGGATGTATTTCCGGCAACAGTGATGTTTAAAATGAGCGTGACACACGGCTGGACTCTCCATCAATGACATGTCTGATAGGAAAGGATTTCTATTTTATTTTAGTTCCTGTTGCTTCGACTCCGCTCTCCTCGGTACTCCTCCTAGACTCCTCCGTTAGCATCTCCCATGGGCAAGACCAAGTCGGAGGCATGGATTCGAGCAGAGGGAGGTGAAATTGGTCAGGCCTCTGTGTCTCTCCCTCTATTCTTCCTCAAGACTCCAGGCTACATCAGCGGCAACTAGCATGCTTTACACAAATCTCTAACTGAACTTCGATTCATGAGAAGCCATTCTGTTGGTGCACACATGGGACTTTGGCTAAAGAACAAGGGTAAGACTGCCAAAAACCCATCCCAACCAATTCAGTCCCTCAAATCTTTTCCAACGCAGGGTTAGTTTTAGAATCAACCCTCGGTCGAATTGGCAACTATGCAGTGAAACCCAACATAACTCCTGCTCCGAAGGAGGTTATGGTCAGAGTTTAGGCTTGAGACCGGCCAATACTAACTAGTTCACTAACTAGTTCCTTTTAAATAGTATGCCTTTCTAGTCAATCTTCTATATAACCACCCCGGCCCCTAGTTGACCCCCACACACACACAACAACACAAACTATAACACCCCTTGTTGTTAAATACCAACCATGTGCAATATGTGCAATATATATATATTAGGGCAGGGACTCGATTAAAAAATTTTTAATCGAGTCCCTGCCCTAATATATATATATTGCACATATTGCACATGGTTGGTATTTAACAACAAGGGGTGTTATAGTTTGTGTTGTTGTGTGTNTATTTTATTTTAAATGGTACACTTTATGTTGAACTATTTATTACGTTGTTGGTGCAACTGGCACTTTATGTTGAACTGTTTATTGTTTTGGCCAAGGTTATTGAGAGAGTTGGACTGAAATTTATTAGATTTTTTAAATCAACTGTTGGTAAATCAACAAAGTCTGTTATGGCCTCTGAAGCAACAGAGAGATGTTTTCTAATAGTCAGGGTTTCCAATGTTCTGAATGTACTTGAAAGTATTGTGTTATACTTAAAAAACAAAGTGTTATAGTTTACAGAAGGTCTACCTACCTATAGGCTACCTGAATCTCTGAAATGTACTATATTCCTAAATATGCTATTGCTACACTTTATGGCAAAAATTGCACTTTTCTGTTGGTCTTGGTTAAGTACCACCTTGAAAAAAATAAACAATGTTTTGTTGCTTAAGCTTATGTATTCAGTCATTATTCAATGGTATACTAAAATCCATGTGAAAAAAATTGCTTCTCACTGTTCTCAGGTCAAATATTTATATGTGATTAAAAATGCGATTAATTTCGATTAATTAATTACAAAGCCTCTAATTAATTAGATTAATTTTTTTAATCGAGTCCCGGCCCTAATATATATATATTGCACATATTGCACATCGTTGGTATTTAACAACAAGGGGTGTTATAGAAACATCCACAGACACATCCAGGTGTGAGGTTTACTTTGTCTGAGGGTTGTCAGATATGTCTATATTATAACGATAGTATATGAGACAAGATTTCGTGTGAAAAATATATACAGAGAAAGGAAGTTATTGTAGACGCTTGTGGGCTGATGCCATCAATAATAAACATTACACAGTACCTAGATAACTATGCATTTAAACCTATTATTACATGGCTTAGTTGAATACTCGATTCTGATTGGTCAATTCGGACATTTCAGAGGTCAATATGACAGTAGGACAGACCGCTGTGAAGCACTATAATCACTAAGGAGGATGAAGAGAGAGAAAGAGGTTAAAAGACCGAGCGCTGGACGTTTCATTAAAGGTCACCTATCATGCTATTTTTAAGCAATAGCATAGGTCTCAGATATATAAAAAACATGTCTATGAAGTGTTTTGCTCAAAATACCAGATCAACAGATCACCCATTCAAGCCATGCCTTATATCCAGGGCTGCACATA